TAGTAATAGTGAGATATTGAAGACCTCCTACCAGACTTCTGTATTCAAGGGGATTGTCAAGAGGAATGACATCATTGGTCGTAGGAATAGACCTGACAGATAGAGGAGTGGAGATTGGCTTGCAATCTTGCATGTGAGCTCGTGTAAGAAGGTCAAGAGCATATTTAGTCTGACAGAGAAAGAGGTCAGCAGAACTACGTGTGGCTTCAATACCCAAAAAGTAATGAAGAGAACCCAGGTCTTTCATGTGAAAAGTAAAACTCAGAGACTTGATTAAATCAGCAAGGAGCTGAGAGGAGTTACCAGTCAGTACAATATCGTCAACATAAAGAAGCAAGAGAATTGTGTTCGTACCTCGATGGTACACAAAGAGAGAGGGATCTGTGGTGCTGCAAAAGAAGCCTGATTCAAGTAAAAAATTGCTGAATTTCTCAAACCATGCACGTGGAGCTTGTCGAAGTCCATATAACGACTTTTTAAGTAAGCAGACATGTTGAGGTAGTGTAGGATCGACAAAACCAGGAGGCTGCTCCATATAAACAGATTCAGTCAAAGTGCCATGTAAAAATGCATTTTTTACGTCTAGTTGATGAATAGGCCAATGCTGCACCATAGCTATTGACAAGACAACACGTATGGTTGCTTGTTTTACAACAGGACTGAAAGTTTCAAGATAGTCTACTCCTTCTTCTTGATGAAATCCTTTAGCCACCAAGCGAGCTTTTAACCTGTCAAGACTGCCATCAGATGTTAACTTGGTCTTATACACCCATTTACAGCCTATGACATTCATCTGATCTGTTCGAGGAACTAACACCCAAGTTTGATTTTCATACAAGGCAGCCATTTCTTCTTGCATTGCACGAGTCCAGCCTTCATGAGCTAAGGCTGACTTAAGTGATTTGGGTTCAGGAGGGACAGTGTACTCAGCTAAGCAGACATATTTGGGATTTGGTTTCACTATGCCAGACTTAAGTCGAGTTTGCATAGGATGAGCAGAGATATCACAGTGTTGAGGAGGGGAGGAGGACTGATGTTCTTGATCAACAACAGGTAGGCTAGGTAATGTACTATGCAAATCAGAAGAATCTGATGGTCCAGAAGCAGCAACATCTGGTGAATGTGATGAAGACAAATCTGTGCAATGATTAGAATTGTAGGGTATACAAATTTGGCCTACCTCCAGAACACCACTGTCTTGTAGATGACCAGTGTGACAATTATTAGTTTGTCTAACTGTATTTGCCCTGGTAGAATCCAGAAAAGTTACCTCATCAACCCATTTTCGATACAGAGATGTATAGTGAGGATAATCTGCAGATAATTGCTTGGCAAATGGAAAGAAATCTTCATCAAATGTCACATGTCGACTGATATATATTCTACCATTAGTAGGTACCAGACAGCGATATCCTTTATGTCTCTCACTATACCCCAAGAATACACAAGTGAGAGATCGAGGGTCAAATTTATGTTGAGCATAGGGTCTGAGACAAGGATAACAAGCACAACCAAAGACCCTGAGATGAACATAGTTGGGCACTTGTTTAAAAAGTTTGCTGTGAGGTGAGTCCATCTGCAGCTTTGGAGTAGGAAGCAGATTAATAACATAATTCGCAATTAAGAATGAATCAACCCAGTAATGTAATGGTGTTCGAGCATGATAGAGCATAGTGAGGCCCAATTCTACCACATGACGATGTTTCCTTTCCGGAATCCCATTTTGTGCAGGAGTATACGGGCAGAAGATATATTGTTTAATACCACATGTTTCTAAATGAGTCTGAAACCTGGTACTAGTGAATTCACCACCACCATCACATTGGAAGACTTTGATTTTGTGGTCAAACTGAGTTTCTACATATTTCTGAAACAAAAGGAAAATATTATAGAACTTGGATTTGTATTTCATTGGATAAAGCCAACTGTATCGAGAGAAGTTGTCCACAAAAATGACATAAAACCTGAAGCCCTGAACAGAGGTTACTGGTGAAGGACCCCAGATATCACAATGTATCCTTGCTAGAGGAAGTTCAGTTACAGAATGAGATAAAGAAAAAGGTAAATTGGTACTCTTGACAAGTGGACAGATGCTACATATAGAAGCTTTCTTAGTAGAGCTGATCCACTGTTGTTGTTGAATATATTTCAAGGTTTTTGTGTTGGTATGAGCAAGTCGTTGATGCCATATGTCATCTCCAACAGCTTTATGTCTTTGGGTAAACAAAGCTTGTGTTGTCTTCTGATCCACTCGATAAAGTCCCCCAATTTTCAGCCCGAGCTGCACTGTGGAGTTGGTTCGATTGTCCTTAACATAGACACCATTTTTATCAAACACAAAGGAGCAGGGAAAGTCATCAGTTAATTTTGAAACTGAAAGAAGATTTTTCTTTATGTCAGGTACGACCAACACATCATTGAGAGGTAATGCATCAAGTGCAGTAAGTAACAATGCATCACCAGTATGAGTAATAGGAAGACATGATCCATTTCCTATCATTACAGAATCAGTTCTAGTGTACTTTGAGGAATTATGAATTATACCAGTATTGGCTATGATGTGAGCTGTGGCTCCAGTGTCAGGATACCATTCATTGCCTGTAGAATCCTCAATATGCATTGCTGTTAGAGCTTGTGGAATATATGCACCTTGATAAGAGTTATCAAATCGATACCAGCATCGAAGAGCATCATACCCTGGACGTTTGCAGATTTGGCAAGTTACTCGAACTCCATCTGTAGCTTTCTCATCCTGCAAGTTCTTGTGAACTGCTAAGTTGGGAGATGGATAGGATTTAATATCTTGATACCTCTGTGATGAACTAGCATAAGGTCGAAAACCATGATTTGAACCATAGAAATTATTCCGTGGACTAAAGTGTTGAACCTCCTGATCTTGATTCAGATTAAAAGGTTTATAATTTTGGCTTCTTCCTTGATATCCATAACCACGACCTCGATTTTCAAATGGACGACCTCTACCATAGGTACGTCCCCCACGAGTGTTCCCTTTCTGGCCTATAAACGCAAAATTTTGTTGATGCAAGTCTCTGTCAAGTGCCACCTTCGATTCTATCTCTAGACTTCTTTCTCCATAATAGGCCATGTTAGGATTATACTGGCTTGAGGAATAGTTTTGCAGTCTTGTTTCAAATCGTTCTAGTTGTGATATCACCTCATCATAATCAGGTTGAGGTTTCAAGCAGTATATAGTAGTTCGAAAATTCTCATACTCTGAGCCTAGGCCCTCCAAAACACCAAAAACTCTAGTTATCTCATCAACAGGCTTCCCAATTGCATCTAACTGATCGCAAATCAGTTTGTCTTCTCTAAGATAATCAGAAAGTTTTCTATTTCGCTTCTGACATGCTTGAAGCTTCCCCCTCAGTTCAAACTCTCTAGCCACTGATTTCTGTGTGAAACGATTAAGTAATGTTTGCCATACCTTAGAAGATGTTTCCAGGCCAATGATCAGCCCTAATATATGCTCAGAAACTGCACCACTAATCCATGATGATATCAGTTGATCAGTTTTCACCCAATCATTGTATTCAGGATTCACAGCTTCAGTCTCGTTCCCTTCAATATCAAGTTGTAACTTCTGTGGTGGTGAAATTTCTCCATTGACGAAACCAAACAGCTCTTGACTCCGGAGAAATCTGTGAAACTGTGTCTGCCATAGAAGAAAATTGTCTTCTGCAAGTTTGATTGTAACAAAGTTAGAGATGTTTACGTGGATAGGAAAAGGATATCTTGGTATTCTCGCTGCCGTTGCTGTGTTCTTCAAGAGAAAAGATGAAGATACGCAGCTTTGCTCTCAGAGAAGAGCTCTGATACCATGTGAAGAACTTGAGAAATGAAGCAGGACGAAAACAGAGAGTTTACAGTTGAAGAACTTGAACTATATTCAGAATATCATCTGAGAGCTTAACTTCTCTCTTGTGTATGTTGCTGTTTTTATATAATACGTACAGCTCACACACCAGAAATACAACTGAACAATTGAATTAACAGAAGGAACAAATCAATACAACTGAATTAACAAAATGTCAACTACTCTGTTTTTCTCTTAGTTTAAAGAACAGAATTCAGTTACACAGAGTATTGATCCATATTTGATGCGTACAGAAGACTTGAGTTTTCCTTCAGCTTTCCACTTCTCCTTCTGGCTTTCCTATAGTCTCAACAAAATATACAAAAGCCAATTATGCAATAATTATTCGCTTTCTTTTTAAATATCTCGTGTCGAAGAACTTCGTCTAGATGGAAAGTCATTTCTTCCAAAATTCCCCCCGACTCACCTTTAAATGATTCGTTGATGTTACGGATATATTTTTTTTCGACAACCAGTTAAATGATCGAAAAGACAAATTAGTTATATTTTGCTTTCAACCCTCAAATGACATACAAACATGTACGATCATTCGACAAGCCTTTAAATAGAAACTCCTCATACTAAACAAGATAAAAGGAAACCAAGCAACACACGCAAATGGGTAAATGACGTAAACAATTCTTGAATTTTGACATAAAATTTTAATTTATTCAATATCATTCGTGCACTCTTGATATACGTTGGATGAAAATGTTCAACGTAGTCTTTCATTTAATTCAAATTTAGGGATTATATTGAATATTTTTATATAGTCTAATGACCACGTTGAATATGTATCAAAAGTCTATGGATCAAATTGGACAAATTAATAATTCAGGGATCATCGTGAACATTATGTTAAAATTCAGAGATTATATTAAATAATTTAAAAGTTCAGGAATTACATTGTATATTGGGCTAAAGTTTAGCGACAATTTGTGTCGTTATCCCAAAGCAAATTGGTCCCACGGTCGGCGGTGACCATGTTTTTGGGCGACGGGCATGTGCCCCAAACGAAACCCGCTCACATAATATCTCTCCATCCATCCTCCGTTCCTCACCTCGGACCGGAGCCACAGGCAAAACGCTACCCCCCGCCCTTAACCATAAAACGTGGCGGCGACGGGAGAGCGTGTGCGCGCACTACGCAACCCCCCTCGGCGCATCCTCGGTCAGTCGCCCGTCTTCTCCGTCGCCTCCCCTTTCAACTCGCGCCGCATCTGCGATTCGATTCTTATCCATTCCCCTCGGCTCTTTCAACTCTTCCGTTCGAATTCCTCCGCTCAGCCGAATCGATCCGGAGCAGCACCGTCCTCGTGCGGAGGCTCGGGGGGGGAATCCGAAATCGAAGCCCCTAAGGATCGACAGCCGTCCCGCTTCGTTCCGCAGTCGGAGTTGAGAAACATCATCAGGGCCGTAGAATTTGTAGTTCGCTCGGTCACGAAACGAAAGCCCTACCTGCGGTTGAGGAAGATCGGAACTTGGCTAGTATCGAAGCGAGTTCGTTTCGGATTGATCGGACCCCTTTTGCTGCCTGGGCTCCTCGCTGTATGAACAGCGCGTAGCGGAGAGGAATTTGGGTCGCCGTCTTCGATCTCTGGGCTTCAGTAAATGTCCGTGGAGAGACCGTTCGAAGCATGGGAGGAGGTGCAGCGGCACGGTCAGGACCTAGCCGACCGCCTCGCGCAGGGCTTCACGGGCCTGATCCAATCCCACATGACCCCTCCTTCCTTCTCGTGGCCGAACCCCGCGCAAGCCAAGCTCTTCGACCTGGAGATACTGCCCGCGCAGAGCTTCGTGATGGCCGACTTCAAGTTGGCGACGGAGAAGTTCAATTCCCCTGGAATCGAGGGCGTCTCCGCGATTTTCGACATCGGGAACAGGATCGGGCAGGCCGGGTTGGATTTCGGGAACTGCTTGAACGGGTTCTTGCAGCAGTTCTTCCGGAGCTTGCCCGGGCCCTTCCGACAGGAGGACCACGCGGCTGCGGCCTCGATTCGTGCGGATTTGGGAATGAGAAGGGAGAGAGGTGATTTGAGTGCCAGTTTACATGAAGAGGTGGGTGCATTGAGCGAACGCTTGAGGGATTTCGGGTTTGCAGAGAATGATGGGAGAGTTGAGGGATCGGCAGATGAGGAAGTCGCTGGTTTCAATAATCTCAGAGCTGCGGGGCATCTTGGTAGACCTCAGGTTAATTTTTTCGCTCGCCTATACGTGATATTGAATCTGTATTAATCTGCTCATGTTCATGCTATTCAGTAGGGATGTGTTACTATGTTTCTTCGAGACAGATATCTTTGTAGTGGAGTGGAGGAAGAGACAAGTGAAAAAGATCGTGTTGTTGGAGATAGCTTGTTGTACTATGTTTTGGCTGCATGACTTAGAGAAAGTGGCGCTGTCTGCAGCACTTTCATCCCTTTTCTTCCTCCATGATAAGCCTTGATTGATTTGTTGGTTGCTGCTAGAAGCTGAAATAGCTTTATTTGTTGGTTCCTGAGAGATGCTAAACTAGGTTGATGCTGGTTGCTGTGAAATGTGAAAATAGTAATATTTGCTGGTTGCTGTGAGCTGCTGTAGTTTGTTTGTTGGTTGCTTGAGATCCTAAATTTATTCCTTTCCACAAGTCTGTGAAAGAGACGTTGGGGATACATGCATTCCTCTAATCAGCTGTCCCCCTTTCCTTTCAATAGATAGATTCTTCCAAATCCTGCAGTAGAATGTCAAGCAGTTGTTACCCTATTATATTTGAAAGTTGTGGAAGCTTTCCCTTTTTCCATATCTTTAAAATTTGCTTTATTGCTTGAACCTTGTGATTGTGGCGGACTTCCTATTGACACTTGATGTTAACATCTCCCATTTTGGCAAATAAGATTTGTATCATAGCAACTATTGGACTTTCTGGGAAGTCATAGAAGTGGCACTTTTATCTGAGTTTCATGAAAGATGATTTGACATATCATGGAGTAATTAATGTTGGATGAACAAGTTCGGGTATGTGATTATTGTGTTAGGCTAGCTTAAGTACCTGCAGAAGTTTTACTTAAATGGGAGAAGTAAGAAGATTGATATAAAGGATCGAGCTTGTGTCCAAGCAAGATACTGGCAACTGAGTAATGAAACTCTAATCCGCGTGGGTTGTTCTAATGCTAAGAATTTGGTAAGGCAAGAAATCATGTCTATCCAGTGGTCATGGCAATTCTTATATACCTGTGTATAGCGATAGCCTGAATGCTTTCTTTCTTTAGTGTTAAATAGATGTCAGATTACATGTTTTAAGGCACTTACACAGACATCAAACTTACATGAATGCAGGGAACAGTGAATATTACATCAACTTATGATAGCCGGACGCGTGATGTAGAGAGTTCTTTGGTTGCACGGGGGGATTTGTGGAGAGTGGAGGCTTCGCAGGGGAGTTCCACATCAGGGAGTGACAGTTCATCTCTTTTCCTTGTACAGCTCGGACCAGTACTTTTTGTTCGTGATTCTACACTACTCCTGCCCATTCATTTATCAAAGCAACACTTGCTTTGGTATGGTTATGATAGGAAGGTATGAGGAGGACTCTATTGCAGCTTACCATGTCCCAAAATGTAAAAGAAAGAAACAAGGAAAAGTGTCTTCATGTGCCTCGAGAATTGACCATATTTGCTCAAATGCTACTGACAAAAACTAGAATAAAAGTTTGTCCAGATGTTTTTCCTGATATTTATCTGGCTAAGGCTACATTTGTTGTTTATAGATAAAGATGTTGGATTAAGATATGCTATGCAAATGTGGTTTGACTGCGATGTAGTATTCTCGTCGTCAAAATCATTGGCTGCAATTATGATATAAACCCCTGAGAATTTAGTAGCTTATAATGACATATTCATAAAAGCCCTGATTTTTGCGAGCATTTTATAAAAGAGCACAGGTTGGTACCAAATGCTATTATTTCTGTCTGTTTCCAGATCCAGGATATTCCACTTAGAACTTAATGAAGAAGAATGTAAAATTCTTCTGTTGTATAGAAACTCAAAATTTTCTGAGTTAGTAGTCTGATGGAATTTTGCCAATTTGGATGTGTTCAGATGTAATTTGGAGTGCAGAAAGTTACTTCCTGTCATTCTCATTGTATACGTTTAAAATGTTTATAGTTTGAAATCGACACAGGTCGACATATCATGGGATGCCATGTTTTCTCTCTGCTATTGTCAACTGTCTAGCGGTCAATTCTTTTAATAAATATCTGTTCTCATCTGACCTTTTTTCATTGTTAGAATGGGATCCATTCCCTTTGTCCCGCCGTTTGGTCAAAGCATCGGAGGTGGCTCTTGATGTCAATGCTCTGCCTTAATCCTCTGGCTTGTGTAAGCTTATCACTTTTTTAAACTATGGGTATTACCCCAAAAAATGGATTTGTAACTTAGGAAGTCTATGGTTTTCATCCTTCAATGTGTTTGAGGACCTTTTTGGTTGGTGATTAAAGGTCAATTAGGTTGGCGTTGATCTTTTTGGTTTTCGAAAGTTGGGTGTACATGTTAATTCTCTGGAGTGTTCCTGTTTTAAGGCTTAAATGGAGTATGCCCAATACATTGGGTAATCATACAGGATCACGACGCCAAGAACCTCTCTATTTGACTACAAGAACTCTCCCTCCCCCTCCTACTCTCTTTCCCAGATGTGCACATATTAAATGTCATTACTCTTTAACCTATATATTTACATATATACATGTATGCATTTTAGTGTGGCTAGTTCTAGTCTCTCACTGCCATCTCCTGGTGCAGTCATTCATGGATTTGCAATTTCCAAATGGCCAGCTCACCTATGTATCTGGTGAGGGGCTCACAACAAGTGCTTTTGTACCTGTTTGTGGCGGACTTCTTCAGGCTGAGGGTCAATACCCAGGAGAGATGAGATTCAGCTTCTCTTGTAAGGTGCGCATTGGTAAAAAAGTAAAGAAGAATATTTAGAGCTGTTTATGGTGGTTGCAGTTGTTTCCCATCTTTGGGCTTGAACTACCTTCACTGTGGAGTTGCTTGTATATTGTTGTTCATGATACATTTCTTGGAATGACAGAACAAATGGGGTACACGTGTCACACCAATGGTTCAATGGCCTGATAAATCCTTTAGTTTGGGTCTTGCACAATCCTTGGCTTGGCAAAGATCTGGAATCATGTACAGGCCAACCATTCAGCTCAGGTGAGATTACCACTTTTGTACCGGGGGAGCATTTCTTGTTTGAGTCTTACATTCTTCAATTATTATCGATTTTGGCTTTAAAATCCCAAGGAGTCTTTTATGTTTCTTTGTTGCTCCGTGCATATTCTTCCTTCACTTTTTCCATTTCGATTCTTTCCGTTTCTTTGCACAAAACATATTAGTAGAGTCTTCTCAACCCCAGATTCATGATGACGTATGGAGTGAAGACAGCGCTCTAGAAAAGCACACTTAATTTGATTAGTTATTTACTGTGATTTGAAATTCAGGTAATGTTTTCTGCTGCTTCATCTCTATACAAAAACTGACGAGTGATGATCCCATCTTCCCATTTTCTTTTTCTTCTCATTATTGATACAAACCTGATGCTACCCATAAGCGAGCTGTTAATGCATAATGTGTAGAAATTAGTTGTCTGTTGATTGGACGACTCTGAAAAATCCTGTGGAGAACAACTCACCAATTCTGCCACCTTTTACTTAGGAAGCATCTGTTCATCACTAGCTTTTTCTCTTCTTGAGTATCACTGGACAAGAATCCTCTTCGATCTATTCATGACTAGGCGCTTACACTCTTGTATCTTGCCATGGCCAGTGTGTGCCCTACTTTTGGTGGAAGCACCCCAGGTTTGCACGCAGAAGTCAGTCATTCGGTGAAGGAGCAGCTAAGTTTGATATGTGGTTGTGCATGTACAACACATCCTTCGGCATTTGCATCCGTATCTGTGAGTTTTTCCCTCTTGTAGACCTGAATTTTTTTTTTACCAGACGTTTTGAGGGGATCTCATGAAATCTATTTTGTGCCTTTCGGTATTATGATCATTTGTGGAAGTGCAAATTGGAGTTAGCAATTAATATTGAAAGATGAACACACCAGACCTGCACATATACTCCTGTTTACTTTGTGCCTTAGCTATATGTGATAATGCATGCTGTAAGGAAGAAGATAAATGCACTAAAACGGATTTATATTGCTTCAAAAATGGAACCTCAAATGTAGCCTCTTTAAGTCCTTTCGTGTTAATCTCTCCCTGGGTTCTATGCAGATTGGGAGATCTAAGTGGAATGGGAACGTTGGAAGCTCAGGAGTAGTTGTCAGAGTGGAGGCGCCGCTCTCCACTGTCGGTAGACCTTCTTTCTCCGTTCAGATAAACAGTGGTGTTGAGTTTTGACTGCATCACAACCTTAATTTGCAGTTGGAAGTGTATATAGTGTTACGCATGTTAGCACAGGATACCATGTGAATATTTCCCCACTTTTGAGGCAATGGATGAGTTTTTATTTGTCCGCATTTTACATCTCTTGCACTTTTGGGAGAATCTGATTTGATTATTTTGGAAGGAGATGACCAAATTGATCCCAATTCTCTTCCTAAATTTTAGAGATAGCCCTTTTAGCTCCATGCGTCACTCCGTTTCTTTGGCGCAAAGTTTGACATGGTGGGATCTATATTTCAAGCCATGACAACGTAACACCTCCTTCTTTATCATCTAGGAGTCGTAGATTATCATTTTGCTAACGCTAAGAACATACGCTACTTATTGTTGTAGTTAATGGCGTGCCAAGAATTTGCGCATGTAGGGCCTGTCTCTTCACCAATCTTATTTGCAGAGGAATCATGTTTGTTTAAGAGTAGGAGCTGAGCCTAAATAAATTCTTGGAATGACACTCGGAAATACTGAAGTGTAACGAACTTTTGAGGCCTAATCCATGAAAAGTGCCGTTTGTTCGATTTATTCAACACTAATACTGTTCTTGGTTATGAGGAATGCCGTTATTGCACTTTGCCTTACTTGCTTCCGCATGATGAACAGCTCGTTAACCTGAATAGCTATCGATTCAGAAAGACGGCGTAAACAGCACAGAGGCTACTGGGTTAGGTTTAGTGTAATCAAAATTTAGGGTCTCTGTCGTTTGAATCGGTTTGGTCACCAATTGTTTCATTGCAAAACCACCCATTACAAATCCTGAGATTAATTCGAGAAGCATGAGGAAGACGTAGATGGAGCAGCATAGGGCCCAACAAAACCTCAATGCCAAATGCAGGTTTCTTTACCGTCACTCGGCCACTTTGATATCATAAATGTGACTCCTGCTATTGTTGCTTCACATATCTTCAGTACTTTTTTCCTAAGAGATGCCTTGATGTGATCCAGCGTCTGGAGGGAAAACATCAAAAACATGAAAGAGTAGTATGAAAACCATATTGGAAACGCCAAGGATCTAGTCATGAATCTCACTTGTTAAGCGGCAAACTAAATGATCAGAAGCCAAGAAAATTATCGTGCTCAAGGGCAATTCAGCATTACCTACTGATCGAGCATACTCTGTATCTGACACTTGATTGCGCCACTTATATTTGATCGTTCTTCCATTTTTTTGATTTTGATCTTTCCTTCGATTTGGTTTAACTTGTGCCTCCGCATTTGCATTCATAGTGAAGCCTGCTTCATCTTTTGCACTAGAAGCTGCATTTTCCTTTGTTTCCTCGCCACAATTCACGCCAAAATCAAAGTGTCTAACTATACCATTTTCCCCGTAAAGATCTCGGTGGACCTCGTCAGACGAGCTGAATCTCTGATATTTACAATCCTTCAAAATCTCGTCAGCCCCATCCATTGCAAATTTGGGTAGGGAGTACTTAAGCAAGTGAAAAGAAGTTTGAATCTTTGGCTCATTTCTGCAAGGAGCATCAAAACAACATTCTGGGAAGCTTCTGATTCATCCACTGCAGAAGTATTTCACTCTTTAATGATTTGGAAGAGTCAAGGGTGTTCAATAGGAAGTGGCAGTTGGAAAAATTATGTTATGCGGAAAAACATGAGATAAACATTAGACATCAACATTGTCTAACTATACCATTTTCACTGAGGTGGCTTTCTTAGGCCGCATCGCTTAGTAACCATTTTCCCAAGCTAGGCCGCTTGATGCTACATTGCCAATCGTATAGGCCGTGTTACTTGGTTACTATTTTGCAAGCCAGCCACATAGGCCGCTTATTGTTTCTCCTCCGAATCTCGACCTTTCATGTGTCGTTTCGAGAAGCCAACAACACCACTAGACTCACTCCACTAGACTCACTGTCCTTAGACCAACTAGATTTGGAAGTTTCGCCATAAACAGCAGCCGAAAGCTGCCTCATCTGCCACGTCTCAGCTGCTGGATGCTATTTGACTTGATCTTAAATTCAAGCCAGAGATAATTAGAGCTACTCTAGGATAGTTTTCTATGTTAATAGATATTTTAATAATTATGTTAATTATTAGCATCTTTCAAGATTGTACGTATATCTCTTTTTGATTGTGCATATCTTTGATTTGACGTGTTACTCATTAATATAAACAACGAACTCTATAGAAAATTCCTCAATTTCTCACTTCCGCATTATTATTTGTTAACTCTGGTAATCCTAGCCCCTAGGCATACAAGTTCTTGTAATTACTTATTTTACGTGACATGTTTTGTGCATAAGCACAGAATGATTTGGAGCCAGGGAAGGTAGCCCCTCGGTTAATATGATTAAAATTGGCTCGACCTCAAGTAAGAAAGGCGTATTCAATCTCAGGACTGTAGAGCAACGAGTGGGTCCAGACATTGCATCATATTTACTTGATTCAATCAAAACTAAGTGCTTATACAAGCTACATGTATGGGAAGATGAGCTTGCAAGATAAAGTTAACAGTGATCAAGATAGAGCCATTTCAATATAAAATGTCAATACCACCATCCATATTAGTATAATAAAGTCCGGACAGTGCAAGATAAGATATAGTTATCGATGATCAAAGATAGAGTACTTGGAAAGGATTCGATAATCTAATTATCGAAGTAGGTTTTGTAGATAGAGAGACGGGAGATGAAAATTATGCTTAAATTTTCTCATAAAAGTAAAACTTTAGAGCGGCCGCAGCTACCGTCGGCCGCCGCGGTCCCTGCTCTGTCTGCTAGCGAGAGTTTTCAGAAAAGGGAAACGAGAGTGCAGAAGAAATATCTCCCGCACTTGGACCAGAAACAAAATCGCGAAGAAAAAAGGGGAGGAGAAATGTGATAGAAGCTCCAAACCTTATAGCTCAATTTGCAGACCTCAACCGAGGAGAGCCAGAGGGAGATTCAGGACCAGAGTTCACAGAGCAATTATCCCAAAAACAGAGGGCCAAAAGGAAGAACTACTTAACTGCCATTAAAGGAAAGGTTTTAGTCATTCTCGCGTACCTTCATCTTGTGGCAAGAGTCGAGCATCACGCTTGAAGACCGCAGAGCCAATCACGACAAGAACAACGCAGACAACCACTCTGGAAACGGAACCCAGAGGCAACACCATCGTTAACTTCCGTTGCTTCCCCCGCGCGCGCCACACTCCGACTCGCAGCGCAAAACGACGCGGAAATGCTCCCTCGACCACGACCAAAGCAGCGCAAAGAGACGCGGGAAAGGAGCGACTGTTGGAGCGCTTTGTAGAGAGAGAGCGACGGGGTTGCCGTTGGAGGGAAAGACTGAACGAAAGATTATCGACAAAAAGGATATAACGTGAATTGATGAAAATCAGTGATAATATCATATTCCGTGGATATCTTGTCTTCGTAAAAATGCTCACGTTTTTTGGAAAGTTCATAATTCTTCTGCATTAGTTAAGTTTTAAACTGTGTGACAGGCTGTTTTCGATATTTTATTGTGAATCGATGATAATTTATCAAAGGGAAAATTTCATTTTGGTACCCAAAGTTGGGCCTTTTTCTCAATTTGGTACCCAAAGTGGACATAGTCCCAAATTAATACCCAAAGTGGACATAGTTCCAAATTGGTACCCAAAGTGCCCATTCAGTCTCAATTTGGTACCTGAGTTCGCCGGCCGGTCAAATGCTAACCAGCCGGCAAGAATTTACTTTTCCGGCTACCGGAATAGTATTTTTTTTACTTTTTTTATATTTTTTTTCCTTTTTCTGTTTGTTTTCTTTTCCTTTTCCTTTTCTTTTTTTTTTCCTTCTTCCCTCCGCCGGCCACAGCCATGGCCGGCGGAGGTCGCCGGCGTCGGGTGACCCTCGCCCTCGCCGGATCTGGCGATGGTCACCCTCGCCCGACGCCGGCGACCTCCGCCGGCCATGGCTGTGGCCGGTGGAGGGAACAAGGAAAAAAAAAAGAAAAGGAAAAGGAAAAGGAAAAGAAAAAAAACAGAAAAAGAAAAAAAAATAAAAAAGTAAAAAAAATACTGTTCCGGTAGCCGGAATAGTAAATTCTTGCCGGCCGGTCAGCATTTGACCGGCCGGTGAACTCAGGTATCAAATTGAGACTGAATGGGCACTTTGGGTACCAATTTGGGACTATGTCCACTTTGGGTACCAAATTGAGAAAAAGGCCCCACTTTGGGTACCAAAATGAAATTTTCCCTTTATCAAATGACTAAATATAGAAAACTCGTAATTCTCAAAGTATAATTCTTTTCTACATTATGTACAATCGAGTTCCAAATGTTTTCCCTTAAAAATACAAAGAGTACTTAAGATACCCCTAAAAAAGATTTAAATTTAACATTTTTATCTCCGCTCCATGTTTTTCTCACAAGCATCTACTTTATTAATAAGAAAATCAATTCCCTATAAGGGTCGGTTTGTTTCGCAAAAAATGAATAATTTAGAAAATATTTTTCTAAAAACGATCACTTGTATCGCTTGAAATTAGTCAATGAAAAATATTATAATTATTGACAATAATTTATTTCTAAACATTTTCTTTAACAGTGGAAATACTTTTCTTTCATTCATTTTTTAAGCGATATAAGTGGTCTTTTTTTTTTAAATTTTTCGTGAAATAAACGGAGCCTAAGTGTGATTTGAGTTATTTTACTTTAATGCCAAATTAATAAATGGAATACGACAATTTAAAAGGAAATCTTGGGTTATTGATTGAATCAAACAATTCTTTACTTATTTATTTATCAACTATGTATTAAAAATATCATTTGGAATGAAAGGAACAACGCCATCTTCAGAGGCAAGAGCATCTATATCCCAGGTATGCGCAAACATCTTATCAAAGTTGTGAAGGATAAAGCCATATCCATTGGGGGAGCGGAGGATACACATAGGAACCGAATATTACAAAGAAAGTGAGGTCTTCCACCTTCAATCTTCGAGTGAACCGGAGGACCTCTTACCTCGGTGTATTAGTCCCTGTTGTTTTGGTTGACTTCTTTGTCACTTGTTGTATAGTTTTGGCTGAGCCTTCTTTGACCCTATTCGGACATCTTCATGTCCTAATCGGGTTGGAGTCTGGTGTTGGCTCTATATTGTATA